TTTTTAATTGATTTTGGATTTATTTATATAAATTTGTTTGGTGAGGGAAGGGATTTTATAAGGCCGAGGAAGATTTTTGGCAGTAAATGTAAAAGGGATGGCTTTTTGGGTCACATGCAATGTATTGCCAATTTGGCAGAGGCTTTTAATTACTTGCAGGATATATATAACTGTGTGTGGAAAAGGATGGATGTGGTTTTGGGATGTTTATGGAAATTCTTTTTATCAAACTATTCATTGGAGTTTTAGGTAAGTTCATTCATTTCTTTACATTTTATCATATCATTTTTAAATTATTATTTATTTGTAAACTTTAATATATATCTAGTTCCGTACGTATTAAAAATACCCGTTATCATTTTACTATGTTTCGGTTGACATCCGGATCGGCTTGCCCCAAGATTTACGGTTCGGCAACGAGAAACCCAGAGAAGACGACCGAGCTGAGTGAAGGGGAAAGTCAACCGCGACGGCAGCCAACATGCTCTCAGAAGTCGGGTGGATATATGGGTTCTTGAGAGCTAAGAGGTCGATAAATGTTGAAAGTCCAATCTGAAGATTTCCTGGGACTGTCCACTACACGAAAGTCCTGCTCGAAAATAGTATAATATTGTCACTTGACGACTAATGATTGTTGATGGGACAAGCTACCCTAGTCTATCACCCTAAGGTATCTAGCCCGACAAAAAGGCATGTCAGCATTTAATGCCTCCCATATGTGCATTAAATGTATAACTAGTAATGATTATGATTGGAGAAACCTCAAGTCGCATTTAATATCTGTCAGAAAAAGCGTCGACCTGCCCGTTGGAGTTACTGTGCGACGAGACAGATGAACAGTACTTGAACAGTGCCAAATTTGAAAATGCTATAAATAGTAGATCAAACTCATTTATTATGGGTTGTTGAAATCATCAACTACTAATTTCTCTCTCTAAAATCTGTAATAAATTCTCTTAATTATCCCCAAGTGTAAGAAAAGTGTCGACCTCATTATCAGAGGTCGACCTCGTAATTACTTAATAAAGCTCAATTTAACCGTATATCTTTCTCATTCTTCCTTTTTAATTTTTATTAAACTTTATCTTAACCGTTGATCGGATCCGTCGATCAACAGTTTCTATCATATAACTATCTATCATCGCTTTACATAAAAAAAAAAAAAAAGATTAATTTGATGTAAACTCAATTGCTTTCATCTAGAGGTGGCCAGGTGCCGGGTTCGGGCCCGGCCCGGTCCAACTCAATTGTTGGGCCCGTAACCGACCCGACAATTCCTATGGACCGGTTCATTGAACCGCCGGGTTAAAATAAATAATAAAAATAAAAAACAACTACGACCTGCCAGAAAAACAGGCCTGGCCCGGAATCGGCCCGGCCCAACAGGTCAAAAATGGATAAAAGACTGCCCTTAACCGACCCTTAAGAAATTCCGGGCCAGTTCATAACCGCACTTATACAGACCGGGCCGGGCCAGGCCCGGTTTCGTTGTCGGGTCGGGCCGCGGGTTGAGCCGACCCGCGGCCATGTCTACTTTCATCAAATGAATTTTGAATTAACATCATCGATCAAGTGTGACATAAAGTTCTAATATAATATGAATATGGCAAGATTTTGTGATTTAAAACATCACATCAACTATGAAATCAATAGTCATACGTTTGGGCATCTTTTATGGCATTCATTAATTTGAAAATTTGTGTCAAAAGTACGATTATTTGTAAAAAAATTTCGCAAATACTTAGGTGTGCCAAGACTTTTTTAAAATGAATATGTTACTTTATAAAATGAACATGTGTTCATTTTAAACTGTCTTGGCACACCTTACTAGGTGTGCCAAGACACACGGTAGTAGCACTGAAAATTTTCACTCGGGCAAAAGTATTTCCAATCATACTAATAAATGTTCTTGGAATTTCCGATGGTTGATTTTGAGAAAAATATAATGAAAATAACGATATATACAAGCTTGATATGTACAACATCCATAACTAAATCTGCAAAATAGATATTCAAGTTCAAGTGGTGTGTAAACTTTTCTCATAAGTGTAGATAATTGGATCACTAATTGAAGAAAACGGGTTCGCATAATTTTGAAAATGTGGTTATGGTTATAATTTAGAAATATGTTACGGTCCCGTTATAGAACCATTCCGTCAGGGTTTTAGAAATATGCTACGGTCCCGTTACAGAACCATTCCGTCAAGGTACGTAACCGTTAAATCAACTATTCTCGACGGTTACATAATAATCTAACGGTTATAAACCCCGGGACCAAGTATTTCCTTATAATTTCTATGAGACTATGGTTTTATAAATACATATAGTTAGTTACCAATAAATAAAGTAGACTATGCTTTTATAATTGCAGATATTTCGTATCCTAAACGTTAGGCATCATGTGTATATTTATAATTAGGCATCATGTGTATATTTAATTTATAAAGTACCCCTAAAGACCAAAAACCTACACTTAGGCCTAAAGATTCTTTGTTCTTGAGATCAACTACACTTTAAAATGTGATACGAAAAATAAAGCATGAATATAAAAATTAAAAAAAAATGCTCTGTACACATGCACGACTTAGATAAGATCGCCGTTAATCAAACATTAATGAATAAAATAAAAAATAAATTGTTAGAAAGGACTGTTAAAGTCGCATTTTCTCCAGTCGTGTCTTGCTCAGTTGTGTTTATTGGTAATTACAAAAGAGAAAAAAGGATGATCTATTAAATGAATCTACATGTAATTTTTTATAACTCTATCTCGCTAAAACTTGAGTTTGACTTGTTATATCAATAAACGAGTCAAACTCGAACTTGTTAGTTGGCACATGCATTTACAAATCGTACTCGGTTTAGCTCGATAAAAACTCGGGTATCAAGAGCTCGATCTATCCTCGGGTCATTTGCACCTTTAGTCCTGAAACTACCATGATTTATATAGGTTGAATAATCAAAAGTACACATATCATATACTCATTTATACATATATTTTTTTAATTTCAAATTACCAAAATCAAAGGTACAAATTTATTTTTTTTTTAGCCAGCCACGATATCCAGAACTATACCCCGACTAATTCGTTCGTCGACCGGGGTCTCACACCTGACAGTGGTGGATGAGACTCCCAACAAAAGGTTTTCTGCATCCACAAGGATTAGAACCCGAGATCTTGCTTAAGCAGCATCAAACTGCTTACCACTTGAGCCAACGGGTCAAAGGTGCCAATTTTGACAACATATAATCGTTGCAATATCACAATCAACCAAATTATGCTGGCTAAGCTTTGTTTTATTCGTTAACCTAATCTTCTAATTAGATTATTCTTGATCTTCCCACACATAAAATCCATATGAAATTGACTGCTTACCAGCAAAATTGATCTCCTAAAAGTACAATCAAAATTGACGTTCTGCAATATTTCTACTAACTGAATTGCACTGCAAAAATTGATATAGGGAACAGACAAGTATCTTATCTTGGTAAAAGAATCTTTCATGTACTTTTTGTTTTTAAGGTCAGTTTTTGTTATGATTTTTTTTTTTTTTTTTTAAAGTCACATCAAATAAGATTTGTTTTAAGGACAAAAAATCTCTGTGTTTGATTTTCGAATACAATATTTTTTTTTTCAAAGATTTTGTGCAGGATTTGGAGAATATACCTTGAACTCTCGTGTAATTGCAACTATGTGAGATTAAAATTAATTAGTATATTACATAATAAACTT